CTGTCAGAAAGAGCTGCAAGCAGACCCAAGCGTGCCTAAGTTAAGGGTGTGTGAAGTTTGAACGATGTGAGTGCAGTTTGTAGAGGTTCTTCATTTATTTAATGTTCATTCTTTTTATTTGTCTTCAGTTACACAGTTCGTCTCTTGTAAAATCACTTTATTTGATGATATTTGCATAATGACACACACACAAAAACAATGATGATCACGTGTAAGCTGGTTCCTTTATTTCTTTGGGAACATTGTCTACAGTAAGAAAAGGGTTTTCAAACAGCAGAATCAGTATGTGAAGAACCTGCTGAGAGCATTTAAGGTGGTGCCACAAGATGTCACAGTTGGGTTTGAATTTCCCAAAAGAGCAGACTGAATCTACCATTTCTTCCATCTAACTTTAAATGCTTACATTTATTCATGAAAACAGCTTTGACTTTATTTCACATCATATATTCATACAAGCATATATTTACCTGATTATCCAGTATGTGCAGCAGAGGTACTGTACCACAGGTTGCATCTGATGTGTTTTCATCCAAGAGTATTTGCCAGAAGCCATTGGCATCACTGCGATACAGACAAGCTATCCTCTCATGCTTCAATGCAGCAGTCATGGCATTATTGTAAACTGGGAGTTACTGTCTCAGTCCTGTATTAGAGTGTGTGTGTGTGTGTGTGTGTGTGTGTGTGTGTGTGTGTGTGTGTGTGTGTGTGTGGATGGCAGGCAATTTCCCCTAAGCAATCACTAGAGAACTAATATCCTGTATTATGGAATGTTAATTTTAAGTTAAGTGCAATATGAGTGCATGAGTCCTTACTCTACAAGTTTGCAAAAAGTGTAATCATTTGTTAAACTTACATTATTTTTGCTGCCTGATAATGTAAATTATCAGCCGCCAACCTATGAATCATTCAAGAATAAAAAAGGCGCTGAACTTCAGGGATGCACCAGTGTTGTGCCCTCACATAAGAGGGAATTTAGCAAAGAACCAATTTGACATTTTATCTGTAGGCACTTTGTTACTAGCAGCCATTCATAAAAAACAAATTTCCCTCATAATGTGTTAAAACTGCAAAAAATGCAAAAAAATATGATACAATTTGACACGACATAATAGTATTTTTTCATGAACACGATGGTTCCCAAAGACCTATTAGCTAAAAAGAAGAAGTGACAGACCTAAAAAAAGCTATTAATAGCAGGTGTCTGAAAGTCATGTCCTTAAGAAAAAGGATGAGGTGCATCTGGCCCTTTAACTGATTTAGTTTACTACTGTTAACTAAAGATTAATCAGAAATAATCTCAGCCAGGGGGTGGCTGTCAACAAGCCATTCTCATAAAAGGAAACGGGGAGAAAAAGCTGAGTTATGCTGAATTTGCAAGAACTGGTTTGAAAATCTGTGGCAAAAGGCCTTTTGGAGTAAAATTGAAAATACGAGAACGTTTTGTTTCAACCCATCATCAGTAGCTACAGAGGAGGGCAGGAGAGATGCAACAGTGAGTGTCTACAGTTATCTACAGGGTGGGGGAGGCTCTGCTGTATTTTGGCTCTGCATTTCAGCCAGTGGTGTTGGGATCTTGTCAAAATTGATGAATAGCATCAGATTCTGATCCACTTTGCAGTACCACCTGGAAAGCATCTGACTGAAAGTGGCTTCACTTTTCAGCACGAGCATGATCCCAAACACTCTGCCAATGCAAGTGGATAGAAGAAACACACAATGGAACACTATCAGTCATTGACTGGCCTCCCCAGAATCCAGACCTCAACATTATTGAAGCAGTGTCATCATCTTGACATCTTGACTTGATTTTAAAAGTACTGCTTCCCCTTCACTTTCCCCTTTTCACTCCAAGTGTGTTCAGATGCCACAAGTTTGTCTGCTCTCCTCTGTAGTTTGTGTTTTGTCTTGCTTATTTTCAGCTTTGGTCTGCTGGTGATTACTGTGTGATGGGTCCTACCACCTGCCTCACATTACTCATCATCATAAAAACAGGAAGTCTCCACAAAATTTTAGTTGTACACAAAACTCAACCAGACAGATGGGTTTAGTAATAACTTATAAATCACTAAACATCGCACATACCAGCTTTAATTATGCTGATTTATCTAATTACAGCCACATTACAAATAAGTCAGGAGTGTGAGAATGAAAATTAGATACTGTGTGCTTTGTAGTATCTTCCAGACACTATTTGAAACCTAATTTTCAGATGCACTTCTGTTAGATGCGCTGAGGAAAGTATTTTACCCACAGGCACTTAAAATTCTGCCCGACATGCTTTTAAACAGCTGCACGATTTTGTACCTCCACACAGTTTGACCACAGGACAAAAAACTCAGTCTTCACCGAGGTATAAACATAGGCCTAGGCATTGTGAAATAGTTGTTTTGGACGGCCTTCATAAGACGGCGGGTGTTCTATAATAATGACATTTTACTTTAATTATTTAGTCAAAATGTCACTTAACGCATCAGGAGGCTGTTTACAACATTAAAGCTAACAGGGCAGGATTGCTTGCTGGACAAGTTCAAAACTCAAAAAGTCCTTACAACTTTTCTATGCAACCTTCACACTTAAGGCTGGGTCATGGCGTCTGAGAGCTGATACCTAAGACATGCTGTTGAACCATGTCACAAATCAGTTGTTGTTGTTTTTTTTCCAGCTGAATAGGAAGGTGGACTTTGAAAAGCAGGCTCTCATAGCATGGGAGAAGAAGAAAAAGTGACAGAAAAAAACATCACTGGCTTTCAAGAGGAATCACTGCAGCAAGCAAAAACGATTTAAATGCCCATTTAAGCACTTCACTCAGCAACATAAAAACAGTAGAGTGGCAAGAGTGACATGTCCCCATGAAAATTAAGCCAGGTCAGTTGTTATTTTTATAGATAATTTTCATGACCACAAAAAAAAAATTAGTTGGTCTAAGTGTTTATTTTAGAAAAGCAAAGCTGTGCTAACAAACTAATAAATATGTGTAACAAAATAAAGGAATAAAGGAGCTGCAAAGATTTATACCTTTACACATAATTAAATTCTATTTTCACAGTAAGAGTTAAAGAAAAAATGTTAGAAATAAGATTTAAAAACATTACAGTAAGTTATGTAGGCTTCTATTTAAATCTAGCTTTGATATAAACACGCAGACCCTCTCTCTGTTTCAATTTAAGTTCATCTTACAGGAAAATGTCATCTCACTGGATCACAGATGTTATGTATAAAGCTTTGGGGTCTGAAGATTGAAACCAGTGCAAAAAGTGCTTTAAACCTCTAGTCTTTCTAATGGAAACTCTTTGGGTTATGAAAAGGGTATGTCTGAATAGAAATCTAAAGAGAAAATCACACTTTTCCACGCTTGTCTATGACCTCAATTTTGTGTATTACTTTAAGGTCTCAACTGGTAGTTTCAGGTGCTATTAAATACAACATCTTGCTGTGCATTAAAATGAAAATGATGATCGCCACTAGAGTCAAAAATAAGGATAAAGAAGGGAATGCTCCACAGCAGACAAGTCACTACCATATAAGCATGTACTCGCCCTCTGTTTTTGGGTTGCTTTAGCTTCCTCCTCCTGTCCAAATATATGTATGCTGATTACAAATTGGCTGTAGGTGTAGTTGTTCGCATGAATGGTTGACTGTCTTTCCATGTTAGCTCTGTAATGGCCTGACTTTTACCCAATGTCAGACAGGGTTCTGCCCCCATTTGACTGACGGAGGCTAACAAGTTTTATAGCATGGGAATACGAGACTGGATCCAAATCCAGTTCTACTTTGATTTGCTTCTTCAACTCACACCTGTGCTTCAGTAAAAATAAGCTGCACTTTCCATGAAGGATGGCTCATGTAATAGTAAATTAGGTGAGCTATAAGAAGAATGTGCCTCGGGTTTACATTACAGCTGGTGAGCATAGAGGAACAATCCCCTGAGAGAAAAGAAAAAGACGTGACTGCACTTCTGAATGAGGAACTCCAAACTGAGCTTGCCAGCTGAAACCCCTCACATAGTTCTAAACCATGGAAAATAAATCAAGTCCAGAACACATGTACAGATGCACTAACACAGCTTGGATAAGCCCCAGTGAGATATTCATTGGCTCTTGCATCCACATTAATTCAATTTTTTACTTAACAAAGACAACAAATCAAAGGATTTTCTTAGTTTCATGAGACAAAGTTGAACAACCTGATTTCTTTAGTATTTTTACATTTTAACTATGATTTTTATTACTATTATTGTTGTCATTTCTAGCCTGGCTTTCCTTAAAGTGGGCAGAGTTGAATGACAATAAGGAAACATGAACTACTATCATTTTCACTGGCTCTCACTTTTTTGTTCCTTATTTATGCAGTCCTCTATGAAAGAAGGGATCTTTTGTATCTGCTTGGAGCGTTATGCTAACTCATCTCTTTACAGTGGACCATTATGCAGAACTTTCAATTATATGCAATCCATAGACTCAAACATAATTGTTCCTGCTGAAACAACCCCCTCTGCTGTCTCAAAAAATGCACCGTTAACCCTTAAGTGCAAAAACAGAAGAAACCTTTAACAGTTATATTTCTTAATTCTAATGCCATAGAGTGCTACAGTAGATTATTACTTCCAGTGGCTGGATTATTAAGTGTAAAATTATAGATCAGCCCCTTTCTTGGCGTTTTTTTTTTATGAATGAAAGCTTACGCACGCCCTTTATGATTCAACCCTAATAGGCTAACCTAAATAAATAAATTAAGCAAATGTATGATCCCAGAAAACGCCCCCCCCCCCTCCCCCGCTCTCTCTTTCTCTCTCCCTCCCTCTCTCTCTCTGTGTGATGGGAACGTGGCTGCAGCGCATTTACAGTCCCCTCCCCTGTGGATCCTCCAAGTATCTCCTTTCCCCTCAACCACCGACCAGAAGCGTGTCAAACTACTTTTCATTCAGCATTAGGCCGATATATGTATATATCTATATTTCATTTTGCTTCGTTTTTGCGCTATTTGATTCGTCATTCTCAATCATGAACGCACAGAGAGCGGATAGTCAGAAACGACTTGCAGATGAGCAGAACCAAGGTGAGAATTTATTTCTACTTTTACATTGAAGTGTTGTTTTAGTTTTTGGGAAACTGTTTAGTTGGTTGTCTGCATCTAGTCTGCTTTTGATTTTTTTTTTTCACTAGTGCTTGTAAGTATTTTAAAATGCGCAATTAAGTCCGTTCAACTTAAATATCCAGTTATTAATAAAAAAAATTGCAACACGATTTAAAGACATTAAACACAATTTCATTGGAATCTTTTGTAAACTGCAGGCTGGTTATATTTCCTAATTGACATGTCAGATAAATATAATGTTCAACTCTATTTAACGTTAATTCTCATAATGCTGTCCATACCATATTAGTCCAATAACCTTGGAGTTGCCGAGTAATACATGAGATTTGGCCACATAATTAACCTTTGAGATGAAGTCATTAGCATCTCTCAGTGCAGAGTGGTAATTATCCCAAACAGTCATCCGCTGATGAGAAAGAGTTTAGTAATATTATTTTGCCACTAAAAGCAATGCTCTCCTGTCCACGAGGGAATCTGCAATCTGTAAAAAATGTATGATTTTTTTCTACCTATGCAGAAATGACAGAAAATGTTCTTTGTCTATAAGTCTGTGGAATTTCAGTTCTTTACTGCTACTGCTATTTAAAATAGAAGTAACAAAGTCTCCTTTAACAAAATGATGCAAATACAAACAAGGATGTGTCATACCTAGTTAACAAGCTTAAAGTTTCCTTTATTTGTTTCGAATGATATGCCACTGACATCATCACACTAATTAGTTTATTCACTGAAAAATCTTGGTTCACACACTCCTTGATGCATCTTAAGAAACATCTGTTGTTTGTCTTAGACATAAAGGATGCCAAAAACCGAGAGAGACAGAGAAGATAATAGAATAATAGAAAATGCATGAGCGAAACAGAAACTGCATTAGGTTAATAGTTTTCCCACCCAGAATGAAAAAAATTCTGCTGTTGTCATCTAATTGACTTTAATCTGATGAAGTTTTGATTCAAATTGATGGTCCCTTGAGGTTCTCTGAGGCAAAATGGAAATGTTTGCTTTTTCAGAAATATTATGGACAAAATCACTCAGGAATCCCCCAAAATGGCAAGAATAATAACTGCCAAGCTTTTAGGTTAGATAAAATTAGGTCTCATGTTGTGGGAATTTATGCATTCGTCGAGAAGTTATTCATTTCTGTAATATACTCGCATATCTATATTATTGCTAATATATATTGTTAATATATCTATATCACTAAAGCACTTCTGGATGGATGCAAACTGCATTTCGTTGCCCTGTACCTGTGCATGTGCAATGACAATAAAGTTGAATTCTATTCTATTCTATTCTATTAAACAAGATGAAGAAATATTAAGCTTAAGTTTGACCCCAATAAGCAGCATCAAAGAGCTCTTAAACAGAAAAAAACCCCTCTTCTGATCACGGCACTGTCTGTTTTATCTTCTTATTTTTCTTTTAATAGCAACACCCCAGCACTGAATACCCCAAGAAACCAGCAGAGGATGTTTTGACACCTTCATTTGTTCCTCCAGCCTTCCTCTCAACAATGGACCTCTTTTTGCAGGGATCCTCTTTAAACCTATCAAAACTGCTCCACAATATCAGCATTCCTGTCAATCCCTCTGGGAATTATACTAACAACCAGTTCACAGAGGTCAACCTCTTTGAAATCCTGGGTCCGAAACGCTCTCCCTTTTTCTTCCAAGTGACCAGTGTTTACCTTCTCATCTTTCTCATTGGCTTGTCTGGAAATCTGCTCACATGTGCAGTGATTGCAAAGCACAAAAAAATGCGTAATCCTACAAACTTTTACCTTGTGAGCCTGGCTGTATCGGATCTTCTCGTGCTTTTGTTCGGGATGCCCTTGGAGATTTATGACCTGTGGCAGAACTATCCATTCCCCTTTGGTGAGGGTGGCTGCTACTTCAAAACGTTCCTGTTTGAAACTGTGTGCTTTGCCTCCATCCTTAACGTCACAGTTCTGAGTGTGGAGAGGTACATAGCTGTGGTATATCCACTCAAAACACGATACTTGTCGACTAACCAGCACGCTAAACGGGTCATCACCATTGTGTGGGTGGTTTCGATGATCTGTGCCATCCCCAACACCTCACTGCACGGCATCTTCTACCTGCCAGAGAGAATGGAGGAGTCAGCTATTTGCACTGTGCTGAAACCTTTGTGGATCTATAACCTGGTCATGCAAATCACAACTGTCTGCTTCTATTTTATACCCATGATGGTTATTAGCATGCTGTACTTAGTCATGGGCCTTCATTTGGGGAGAGAAAGGCGCCAGTCCAGTGGGAACCTGGGAAAGAATTGTTGCAGCACTCGAAGGAAGATGAGAGTGGAGAATGGCCGAAGGAGACAGGTCATCAAAATGCTCTGTGAGTTTTTTTTCTCTCTCTTCAAAAGGCAAGCATTGCTCTGTCATGCTGCTCTGACTTGAAAGCATATCTCCTCTAATCTGTATTGTCACTGCCAAGGCATGATCCCATAGACAAAACATGACGAAAACAGAGAGTAAATAATGACACAGGATTATCAGCAGTTTGGATGGATCATTAAGATTCCGAAGGGCTTCCTTTTGAGTCACATCTCCTAATTCTGCAACTTGACAAGATTACACGTTAGTGTAAGACCCTTTTGCTGTAGCTATTTGTTTTTTTACATTGAGGAATTTCCCATTACATCCATCTAAAGATTCTCACATTACAAATGGCAAAAATAATAACTGGCAAAAAATAGCATTAGGAGTCAATCTGAAAACCTATTTTCTGAACCAACTGGCAATTATTGCAAAGAGTAAATTATCAGAATATCCATTATGAACACAATTAGCAGCGTGATAGTGGTAATGTCACAGGAAATGTCTGCATTTAAGCTTTTGTCATAGCTCCTCTCAGGAGTTTAGAGTGGATGTTGGTGATGCTATTCTCGTTGTATTTGTACAGCCAGTCATAATTTCACAGCATAGAGATTAGTCGTTACTTTTTTTTATTATGTTTTTATTTAAAAACCTGCAACAAACAAACAATATATCATGAATTTCTAACTGATATTGCAGTCACAAATATCTAATATTTCAAGAAAAGGCCTAAAGGTGAATTTTAAACTGCTTCTTTAGCTAACACACTGGTGATTTATTTAATGAAACGCTGGAAACTAAAATTATACCCTGACCTTTTCTGTACTTTTTGATATCCGTGCTGATACTTGAGAGTTAAATAAAAGCATATAACCAAGTTTATAGCCATCATAACAACAAAAAAAGATCTAACTGCCCCAGCTGCAGACAAAATACCAGCAACACTTAAAAATAAAGACATTTCCTTATTCTTATCTTTGCATCTGTAGAGCTGCATATTGCAAGAAGATATTTACCTCATATGTAGCACATTCCGTCTGAGAGTTATTTTTCCCAGAGCTCTAAAATCCAAATAAATTGTAGTAAAATTGTGGAGTTTTCTTCAAAACTAATAAAAGTTGTGTTTACGTTCAATGTTACTCTCCAAGGTGTGAAATGTAAATTCATGAGGCTTAATGGAAGTACTGAACGCATGGCTTTTTCTTCTAAAACATAACAGCTTCCTCTGCCTTTGTAGGCTCCGTGCAACACATCTCTCCGTGCAGTTATGTTCTGTGCAACTGCATGAGAGATACAGAAAACAGGTGCAAAAACAAATAAATCCATAGCACTACTAGATGTCTAAAACATCACAGGGGACCTTTAAATTATGTTTTTCTTAAAAGAATCCCAACTGAAGATCTTTTAGAAATGTTGTTAAATTCACAAGAGGTTTGGGGGATGCTTTCTGGTTCCACTGCAGGTGGATTCCTTTATCAGGAATGTCATCTGTTCTGGAGAATGGGTGATAAAATTTAAATTAAAAATAATAATATGAAATGTATGGACAAAAAGATTGTGATTGTTTTGATTTGCACAGTTGATCAGACTGCTTCTGTCATCATCCTCCTTATCTTGTTCTTCTAGTCAAATAGTAATTGATAGTAAAATAACATTGGCTTTGTTTTTAACGTGTGTTTCCCATGTAAAGTAGCTGCAACACAATGACTTTCAGGAAAAATGACATGCATATTTTAGTTTTTAAAAAGGTTTAACATTTGCATCTATGAGCAGCTAACTCGATAAAAGCTCTTTAATTGATTTCCACTCACTATCAACAACTAAAAGCGCAGCAAGCTGAAAGCTACTTATTGGTCATCAAGCTGTATTTTCATACTGAACATCTTCACACATATACCCTGTGTTCTTGACAACAATTCCTGTTGTCAATTCATGCTGTTCAGCCAAACTTTGTTACCAAAGTTTCTCTTATATTATAGTAAAGATAAAGTTTCTAAACACATCAAACACATCAGCCGTGACTTAGTAAAACACACACGTAACAATTATACAAAAAGTCTGTGAAGGTTCTCAGTCCTTCAGGTCATCGTAGTCAAAGGAGCTTGCAAAGAAAAGCGTCTGGACTTCTTTAAGATTATGCAAAAAATTCAGAGAAAAATATGGCCCAAGTATTTCACCCAGGATAAATATATCTTTAATAAAGAGCTGGAACAAGATGATATAGAATATAAATATGATTCTTTGAAAAACTGTAAAATACAGCATTTTGTCCTAACCATGAAGCTTTAGACAAATGAAAAAGTTAAAATGCACTATGCGAATCACTGTAGTCTGGGAAAGAAAGAACAAAACCAAGTGCTA